TGCAATAGTAATCCCTTACTTTACTCGTTACTTGAAAAAAGTAATCGGATTACAGTAACGCGTTACTTGTAACGCGTTACTGCCCATCTCTGGTGTTCAGCACTGCTTTTCTGCAGACAGAGCGGGAAGTAATCCAATAAACGTTGGAACAGCTGCAGGAATTAGTAGCAGCAGCTAGTTCACCCTCACCTTTGTACCATTTCAAGCTTTTCATTGGACTGAATGAGTTGAATTGCAGTAAATAACTGGAAAGATTAGGGTGTTCTAACGTGTGACTGGTAGTGTATGTATAAGCTTTGAGCTTATTTTAGTAATGTGAATGCAACAGACAAAAAGGTGAACTACATTTCTTCTGGTCTGTAGTTCCACAGGACTGGTCCAAATTCACCTGTAAACTCAACAGTCTGTGTTATGCAGATAAACAAATATATTCACTACATGCATATTCCAAACCCTTTAGGCTACTATGTGAAACTTAAACAGACGATGTGCTGCACAGGTGTGAGTTTGGCAGCATCAGCTGTGTGTTTCGTGTTTGCAGATCAGTGATGCTGTGCACAGCCTGGTGCAGGCGCAGTGCCAGACGCAGTATGAAGCAGTGCTGCAGAAGTGTGAGGCTAACCGCTCTTCTTTAGAGGCCTCCATACGAACAGACATGGACCAGATCATCACGTCCAAGGAACACGTGACCAACAAGATCAGAGGTTGGATGAGAGCAACACTTCTCCTCATTCAGATACTAGCAGCACATTTCTCATCTTTGGTTAGTTATAATCATCGAAAGCTGGGATGAATCAGGTGCTGTGTCATAAAATGTAACATGGTGCATACAAGCTTGATGTCCTCCCTCAACCTGAGTTTTCATTGAATTGCAACACGAGGTTTCATCAAACACCTCTGATGGTCAGAAGGATGATTAATTATTAATTATGCACATGTTGCATCATATCAGGCCCTGCTGTCTATGCTTCAGTGCTGAACTAGATGCTTCTTCAAACCCAAATCACATTTATGTCATTTAAATTAAGTTACAGACTAATGCTGTGTTTTTAAATCATTCTTTACTGTTTGTCTG